CTTGCCCTTGGCCCCCCCTGATTTGCTTGTCTGGTTCCGCCTCTGTGCACAGGCGTGATATGTGCGGGGAGATCGGGGAGGCCAACAAGTCGGAGGAGCGGCAAAGCGGTGTGGTGGTGGAGCAGGCGAGAGAAAGAGGAGAGAGGAGGCATAGGTGTGATATGTCTGCTACCGGCCGTGCTCCATAAACCGGAGATGGCGATGGTTGAACCAGTCAGCAGTCAGCAGTCAGCACTCGCGAAAGGTCCTCCGAGCAGAGCTGGGAATGCCTCTCGCTGGTTTAGACGTCCATAACCTACCAACAGTGGCACAGTGCGAAGCAATATGAACGAGCAACTAGCTAGTCAATCAAGTCTTCAACACCCAAGCACTCTTTTCTTCTAATGAGAAAACAAAGACAACTAATTCAATCTGAACTCAAAATAATTCCACATGAAGCATAATGTGGTTTCTCGTTTAGATGAAAAAGCTAGAGTTGTAAGGCAATGAACCCATACACCAGAGAATTCAAATCACGACGTGCTGGTTTACGCAAACATAAGTTTTCGTCTAGGGGAACACTCGTTTGGTGGATGTGTGTGACGTGCATATGTGTTCCAACTTGCATCTAAACAACATGCAAGTGATTTAGGAGCTCACAAATCTAATTTTTTACTCATCCAATTTTCATACTACCTCTTAAAAATTAGTCCATGTGTTAAAAAAGACTCAGGTGCCAAACCCAGAATAGTTCGTTTTGTTAGGCTCTTTATGGTAGAACATATAAATCCTGGTTCAAGTTCTAGACTTTGGCACATGTGTTCTCATTTTTCTTAGATTTATTCTAGAATTTAGCATCGATATTTTTCAGTGATAGATAATATAACCATTGGCAACGAGGCGCCTAGATGTGTGCCTATCTACCCTATCCTATAATACACCAGTTAGAATAATATATATGAGTGTCTGTATAAACACGGCGATTGCAAGAAACAAAAACCAATGTGTTATTTGGACATCATAACACCTATTCTTTTTACCGTATCATGGTTACTATGAAACGAGATGCCTCTCCAAATCCTGATGGATTCAATATAGCATTCTAAAGGAACACATGTGTTGACACAAATCTAGTCTCATACTAAAACGACTAGCAGTCGGGATCGTGCAAGACTTGCTCGAACCACTCGAGGACCGATTCGCGACGATGTAAGGAAAATTGGCTTAGCTAGTTTTCACAAATCAGCCGCAATGAAAAGCTAGAAACGTCTCCCGGGAAGGAACCCATCAGGAAGGTGCATTTAGGGTTGTTCTAGGATTGGCAAAGTCACTTGAAACGCCCACAAAGACTGTATAATAGCATATGGGGACTTGAAGATATTAAGGCAGAAAGGAAAAGATAAAAGGCAAGAAAGATAAAGAATAGATTGATTTGATTGATTGAATGCCCTCAATTAGGCAGTAGCCCTTTATATTTATAGGGTGTGATGGTCTTACGAAATCCCTTACAAATCTGAACGGAATACAATGCCAACTTGGTTTGACTGCTAAAATCGGCTAGTTTGTTTCCACGGCCGAATCATTCCAGAAATGTAATTTCCTCATTCGGACTTCAAATTTTATCTTCTGTATATGCATTTTGAACACCTTGACGAGAGAAGTACAATGGTAAAGTCCAATTTGCAATTTGAAAAAGTTCAAAAACTGGTTAATCCGGTTTGAGAAACTTACTAAGTCGATTTTCCAAAATTCCATTAGCTGCCCGCCTCCGGCTATTGCAGCTTATAAAAAAATAGTTGATCCAAAAGATAGCCTGAGCCCTTAGGGCGTTCCCAACTGAGAAGAATAAATCACTAGCGATGTGAGCTTGACAGACTAAAAAAAGAATGTCAGAGCCCACACGTGTGTATATATATATATATATATATATATATATATATATATATATATATATATATATATATATTGTGGGAGCAAGTTTAATAAGCTTGTCTTATAGCCAAGCCATGCCATCTAGAGACTAACCTTTTAGACTAGTTATCTCTTCACACGCATTCCAAAACCATCTTTTACTCATGTAGGACCCACCATATCAGTATGCAGCGAGAGAAGGGTGGAGGAGACTAGGGATGGATCCACTATTTATCATATTTTAATTCGAATTGAATATGAATACGGATATTTTCGCATACTGATGCAAAATGGATATCTTGAATTCGGATTCGACTCCGGACATCAACGGTTTTGAAGATAACATGTATCTATTTGCTTATCGATAGTTTCATAGTACAATAAAATTATTATGAATAAAGGGATTTAAAATATAGCTATATAACCCTATGGATAAAGACAACTACCGAAAATAAAATATTTTAATAAAAATATATAAGGAAATTATAGATAATATATATTAACTACTGAATTCAAATAAATAAAATAAATTCTATAACTATATAATTAAAATAAAAAAATTAATTAATACGATTAATCATATTAAAATTAATTAAACTTAAAATTTATATATCGTTAATAATATTAAAATTACATTAGTCACAGATAACTTTTAAATAACAATATTGTTATATTAACATTATTTTTATTTACATAGTTAATTAGTCACAAATATGAGATTTAGATGATTTTAAAATAATTTGTACTTCAAGGATGCGGAAAATCCATATTTTTGTCGAATACGGATGTAGAATCAGATAGAGAATAATCTAAAAAACGAATATAGATATATCCATTTAACATTTATATTTAAACCGAATACGAATAGGATATCCATATAACATATTTACACTAAAATTAATACGGATGTCGGATATTTCGTATACATGGACATCGGCATCCATCCCTAGAACTAAAGACGTTGGCAGGATGTGAGGACCTAGTAGTGGCGGCCCCCAAGGACTGCATGGGAACCTGTGATACGATTGGCGCCAGATAAGCGGTCTCTTTGGTTGGCTGGTTCGTTTCGTCGCTGGTTTGTGAAGAAGTACTGCTGGCTGGTCTGTGTGAGAGAAAAATACTATTTCGACTGAAAATTTACGATCGTTTACGACAAGCCACAGCCAAACGAACAGTTGTGCTTGTGTTTGTTCCCTCTTTTATGTCCTTTTCTCTCTCTTTCATGTAGAATTTGCTGAATTGTCTTAGCTATGAGACGAGGTGTATTTATTATACTCGAAACTACTCCTCTACCACTCTTTCTGCCAATAGAAATTCACGTAGATTAGCGATTTGGGCTCTGACCCTATTTGTTTTGGGTTTGTTTTGCTTATAAATTATGACTGAAAGTACTGTTGACTGGTCTGTTATGAGAGAAAAATATTATTTATTATCTAATAACTATAGCTTATAAGTCAAATACGACTAAGCGAACAGGCTGTCTGTTTGGACGCCCTTGAGCACTTCAATTCGAACGTGTCATTTAGAAAGTTATAAAGTTTCATGCGACCGAGACTCTAAAATTCTCCACAACACTAAACACACCGCCCTGAAAACCTTTGCCACACCACAACTGGTGATCCACGCATCACCGACGGCAACCCGTAAACCAAGTGCAGTCAAAGGCAACCGGTGGTGATTCGATGGCGAGAGGTCAGCGTTGCCGGTCCACTTGGTTTTGCATTTTGAGAGAAAAGTACGCGCTCTACCACCGGTCTGCCAATAGCGTCATGCCGTCAGTGTCGTAATCGTAACCGACCGGGTCTCCGGTCTCATCTCCGTATTAATTTGCTCCCGTCCGTGGCTGTCTTTTTTACTCCCGATCCCAACGTCTTTGCCATTGAACCCAAAACTTAGACGGAAGAACGGATGCCCTATTCGCTAAACCATAGCTGAAAATACTGTTGACTGATTTTTTATAAAAAAAAATATTATTCGTTAGCTTGAAAAAAAATACGGCTTATAAGTCCAGCGAACAGAGTGGGAGTTCGCCGGGCGACGATAACTTGGAATTCGGATGAGCAGAGGTTGAACGTTTCTGCCGTGGACAACGGACGGCGCCGACTCGACCGGCGGATCCATCCGACGACGGACTCATCGGTCATCACTCACGGACGGAGACGACTCGTCGACTCCAACGGCGGATCGTCCACCACCGCATGATCGGTGCCGTCACGCACACCTCATCGTCTCGTCGGCGACGACTCCTACACGCAGCTCCTAACTTTTCTTCTCCATGTTATCTTTTCTGCTGTAAACCACTGAGGCGAGCTGCCTTCAGTTTGCTGCCCCGATTTCTTTGCTGCGTGAGTGATCAATTCAGATTTGTTCATGATGATCCATGTGTTCGTGTCCTCTGCGTCTCAGCCGTCGGTTTTTCAAAACGTAGCAGCATTCGTTGAACGAATTGGGATCAAACTATAACAAAAAGATTGAGCTTTACAGCCATAAAGTCGAATGCCGGAAAGGGAGGTGGTTTTGATCTGTGTGTGCGAACATGCTTGCTGGACCAATGGAATAAGAGCACATGGATGATAGATGGCATGCATTTGCCGCCGGGATCAAGAACAAGGTGGTTGAGTCGTTTCTTTCATTTGTTTATGATGAAGAAAACGAGCAGGTTATCAAACACATGGCGTGTTTGGTGTCTTCTTTGCACGAATCCGAAGCATGGCCTTCGTCATCATCAATCAAATGAATTGAAGTATGAACTGTCTGAACGCTAGACGACAGCCACAGACGTGGGACGGCAGATTTTAGCTGATTATAATGGGCTTCGAGTTCTAAGTCAAATTCTTCTGCTCTCTTTTGTATCTTTGCTTAAAATGCCCAAAGCCTCAAACCAATGAATAACTTCACAAAAGCAGCAAAACTGCACAAAGTGGATCATATGTCAAAGAAACTATGTTAACTTCTGTGTGCTGTTCTCTTTGTATGTGACTGTGCAATTACAGTGTCAAAAATTTCTCCTAAATCTAAACATCCTGTACGTATCTTTTATCCACACATCTGATCTAAGTGTCGAATCAAATCTTCACAAAAACAAAAGAAATCTCGTTTCCGTCGGCCGATCAAAATGGCCTCTTGAGTCCCTTGAAGTCGACGGTCTCGATGCACTCGACGCTGCCTCTGGAGCCGTTGAGCATCTTGAGCAGCTCGCTGGCGCGCTCCTTGGTGACGCCGCCGCAGCCGACCTGGAGCAGCAGCAGCAGCTTCTGGAACGCCCCCACGCGGAGCGCCTCGGCGAGGCACGCGGCGGCGGCGGCGTCGCCCGAGCAGCAGAGGCGCCAGAGCGCGGAGACAGCGAAGTCTGTGGCCATGTCGGACACGCGGAACATCTTCTTGACGAGCACCGGCACGGCCAGCGCGTGCGCACGCGCGGCAGCGAGGCCGGCGTCGGCGCACAGCACGCCGTCGAGCGCGGCCAGCGCCTTCTCGCTCGTGCCCTTGTCGGCGTCTACGAGGGCCTCCACGAGCACCGCCACCGCGCCGAGCTCCGCGAAGCGCGCCGCCGCGCTGTCGGAGGCGGCGACGAGGTAGTAGGCCGTGACGAGCGCGGCCTTGGTGGCCGGCGTGGAGATGGGGTTCCGGACCAGGCCGACGAGCGCGTCGCACATGCCCGGGGTCCTCAGGACGGCCTCGAGGGTGTGCCCGTCGACGGCCGACGACGCGAGCTCGCGGAGCACGACGGCGGCGCTGGCCCGCGCCGGGAGCTCGCTGTGGGACATGACGGAGACGAGCGACTTGAGCGACGCCGGGGAGGCAATGCAGTGGCGGGCCTCGTCGTCGAGCGGGAAGAAGACGGTGAGCGCGGCCAGGACATCGCCCAGCGCGCAGGCGCCGCCCTCGACGCGCTCTCCGGCGAGGCGCGCGAACGCGGCGGCCAGCGCGCGCGCGGCTCCGGCCGCCGCGAGGCAGCGCCGGTTGCGGTCGCTCTCCTTGCCAAGCGCCCTGGCCCTGGCCGCCGCCGCCCCGCACGCGGCGGCATCCCCGCGCCTCGCGGCGGCTGACACCGAAGCCACGGACTCGGCGGCGTCGGCGTCACCGAGCGGCACCTTGGGCGTGGGCACCCGCTCGACGCCGCTGGAGCGGTTGGCGACGCACCAGTCCTGGATCATCCGGCGCGTGGCGTGGTTGGGGACCAGGTCGGCCAGCCGCAGGGGCCGGCCGGTGACGGGGCACCGGGTGTTCCCGCGCGCCAGCCAGCCCTCCACGCTCTCCCGGTCGTACGTGATCCCAGTGGGCGCCGTGACGGGGTCCCGCATCAGGTCCAGAGAGATAGGGCACACGAAGTGCGCCGGCACCGCCACCTCCTCTGCCGCCGCCGCGGAGGCCTGCTGCTTGCTGCTCCGCCTCAACATCGGTATCTCGGGAACCAACCTTGACGCGGCCCTCGCTGCGCGCGACATGGGCAGAACCATTGTTTCCGGCCGGTAGCTAGGAGTGTGCTCTGGTCGTTGCTATGTCGAGCTTGCCGAAAACGTTGAGCCGATGATGAAACCTGAGTCCTTTGAGCTGAATAGCTGACCGTTGAGAGGAGAAGGAGAACGAAGAGAGATAGTGCGATGGGGAAAATGGGGAGGAGAGAGGATATATAGGTTGCGGGGAGGAGAGAAGAAGACCTGTGCGGCTGTGGCGTGTGGCGGATACCGAATGGCATTGTTTTCTGCTTTGCAAGCTGGGTCGCGGGGTTTGAACATTGACCGTTGAACGGTGGAGAGTTGAACGAGGGGGCGCGGCGTGGACGATGACGATGACGGCGACCCGCGTTGGCTCTCGCCCTCGCGTACGGGCCGCGGACGGAGCGCGCGGGGGAAACGTTAGGATTCCTCGTGTTTCCCCTTTTTCTTGCTTGTTTATTGATCGGGTCTTCGCGGCGCTTTTGGTGTTCCTTTTGGCGGCGTCCGGGCACCAGAAAGATTTTTGGAAACTATTTTAGATGGATGGACAATGCTGCGTAAGGCAACCCTTGAATAATTAGTGACGTGCATTAGTAGTTCAACAACTTTCTGTTTATCTCAAGCAAGGACTAATTTTGAAGGAAATGTAGCGTGCAATCTACTTCATCCGTTCCAAATTACAAGACGTTTTGACTTTTCCAAATACGTTGATTTTACTATATATCAAGTGCACAATAAAAACTACTATGTATCTAAAAAAGCAAAAAAAAACATCTTATAATTAAATATAGAGAGACCATTAGTTAGGAGTATTAAAACATATGGAAGTCTTAAAATAAATAGTACTTCAATCAATTTTAAATTATAAGACATTTTAGCCTTTATAGATACATAGTTTTTGCTATGCACTTAAATATATTATGTTTAAATATATAGTAAAAATAATATATATCTATAAAATCCAAAACATTTTATGATTTAGAACGGAGGGAATACTATGTTATTGTGAGAACATGTATGTGGAACGAATGGAACGATAAGGAAAGAGGGTAGGTGAGTTTTTTTTCCCAAAAAACCAAAAGAACAACATAATAGAGAAATAGTTATCCATATACAAACACAAATCCACCGTTATTACTTGTGAGCGTATGCCAAGCAAACCATATCCCTATTATGAAATTTATGATCGTGTGCGTACCAAAGTTTTCCATATACAACAGTTGCTCTTTCCGTTGCATAGGTCAGGTGTTTGTGCAGAGTGTGTATATTTAGATGTATAGCAAAACTTTGTATCGGGGTTATAACCTTGGTGTATGGCCCACGATACGTCAGCCAGCGAGAGCCCGAACGACCGAGGCTCAGCTGATCCAAGAAAACCAGACCAAGCGCTAAGGCGGGGCCGACCACGACCCCTTCATCAGACTTAGCCACACAGCGTACAAGAGACGCACGACCTCTCCACCATCCCGATCCCTAGAAAGAACGGGGAGAGGTCGAGCGCAGTCGGGCACACCTGCTCTGACAAGGGTAGGCGTGCCACTCTGACCCCGCAAGGACTGAGGGGACAGCAGTCACCTCGGTCCAGTCAGACATCATCCCTGCACCACGGAGCTCAGATAAGACAACACCGCCCAAGGCGGTTATGACTGGTACGATAACCACCGGCCAAATACGGCCCGATAAGACGCATGTTCGATTCCACCCACTACGGGATGAGATCCACGACGAAGGCCTTAACTTAGAGGCCATCCGGACTGGTGGAGGCCATGACCCCAACGATCGGGGTCATGGCCCTCAGCTCCTCCGGCCAACAAGGTGACCGACAACTTGGGGGCGACTACCAACTCCTGTACGACACCCCAGAAAACCAAGAGACGATGGTGAAGACCATGGCGGAGACCACGTCGCGCAGTGTAACACCCTACAATTTTATCTTTTTGAAATAGATGAAAATTAAATTAATTATGCAATTTTGTACTCATAAAAACATAGAAAAATAAAAATTTTCATTAATTTAAAATTTATCATAGGAATTTACCAACATGGTTGTGCATACATGCCCATACATTTGATTTAATTGGTTGAGTGATTCTGATTAAAATTCAAAATGGTTTAAATTGCTTATGAAAATGAATTTGAAAATGGCTTTGAAATAAAAGAAAAGAAAATTTGAAAATAAAAGAATTTAAAAAGGTGTAAAATTTATTTTTGGAAAACTTACCAAAATTGCTCATTTTTATTTGAATTAAAAAGTGCATTTTAAACCATATTCAAATTTGATTTGGTTTATATTTGAAATTGGTTTTGAAATAGGAAAATGGAAAACGCTCCCTCTCTCTCTTTCGGCCCGAAGGCCCAAGCCTGCTCTGCTCTCGCTCTCCCGTGGCCCATTCCAGCAGATGGTCCAGCACCGCGTCGCTCGCGCCCTTCTCCCCAGCGCCTCTGCTCATGGGCCGGCCCGACAAGCCAGCCGAAGGCCACACTGTGCAGGCTGCGTCCCCAACCCTCTCTCCGCGTGCTGTCGCTGACAGCCGGCCCCATTCTCTCACCCGCTGACGCTCGAGACCCACAAGTCAGCGTTGTCACCTACCTCCCACTCGTGCCCGACGCGGACTCCACCATCACCGCTGAGACTCCGCCACCACGACGCCATCCGCCTTGCCATGCACTCCACGTCTCTCCGCCCCCATAAAAGCTGAGCGCCGTGTCTGCTGCCTCCATCCCGAGCCTCGGAGCTAGCCGCATCCGCCGAGTCGCCGCGCCGCCAATGCGCAAACCCTAGCACCGTCCACCACTGTCGCCGTCGAGCATTGCGCCACCTCCACCCGCTCCGCGCCGCCGAGATCCACCGTGGTAAGTTTGCCATCATTCCCTCGATCTTCCGGCACTTTTCTCGTTTTGAATCCGTAGCCATAGGCCATGTTTCCCTAGCGCCGCCATCTCCGGCCATGGCGCCACCACAGCTAGCTTGTCGCCGACCGGCCGCGCCTTCTCTCACCCTCCCTCTTCTAATCCTGGCCGACCGAGTTAGATCCAACGACTGAGATCACGTGATACCTCTTCGGCCGGCAATCTTTCTAAAGAACCCCTGCCCTTTTCTAGTATAGAACCCGCCATCTCTGCACTTTTGCTAAAGAGACCCTAAATTTCTAGAGTATTCCGCCGGCAGTCCTTGGCCAGTTTAAAATCAGATTTTATTTATTTTTAAATTCAAAAATCAAGTTCCATCTATTTACAAAATTACCATTATCTTCATTAGGCCATATCTTCTCCGTTTTAACTCCGATTTGACCTGTTCAAGTTGCGTTAGATTCGTAACGACATAATCTACGCATTAGTACCAATGTTTTCCATGTCAAGAGCTCTAGAATTTTATGGTTTAATGCCTAACTTGAATAATGATTATGCAATTGGATTTTTCTAATTAAAAGTAATTTAGGTTTTTCACCTTAGCCAATTATATGATTAGTTTTACCTTGTTTTTCTAAATCAAGTATAATTTGACTTAACTCAATTAAGGTATTTCTCTGAAGTATCTTATACATGTTTTATATAGCTAAAATAAATAAAGCCTATAGTTTCTTTTTGAAACAAATCTATCGGTAGATGTATTTTTTTCACCGTAGCTCCGATTAACGTGCTTTTTCACGTCTGTGTGATCATAGCAACGCGTAGATTTGATTTCAAATTCTTTTTCACTGATTGGTGTATTGTTCTAATATAGTATATTTGAATGCTATGCATGTTGTTCGGATGCTTGTGTGGTGCTTTATGATCATGTCCAGTCGATGAGCTTTGCGTTGGTGATATAAAAGAAGTTGGTGATCCAGAAGAAGTCCTTTGGACGTTACAATTCAATAAAAGATGGATCTGAGTTTAAGGCAAATATAGCATGGGATCTTTCTTGTTGTCCCATTCACCTTTAATTATTTAATTCATGCTGCATGTGTCTACCTTGATTATCACTAAGGATTTCCTAGTATTTTGTTACCTTGTACCTTGATTCCTATGGGTTATTGCATTCGGTAGTATGATGCTAGTGCTCAATTAAAGATCATGATATTGTAACTTGAGTAATGGTATATGCAATAAACTTTAAAACATGACTTTTTAGCAACATGGAACAAGGGGGCTAAAGCATTGGGCTATTTTATAGTGCTCAAGATTCCTCTCCCTAAGGACTAATCTGTAAGTGATCATCCAGGACTTATAGTACAACTGTGAGGGCTACATGGCTCTGGCTTTAGCTCAGTACAAGGGCATTTTCTAGCTTGTTAGAAGTTACCTTTATGGCGCAAGAGGGGTGTGTTTTGGGTTAGATATAGTGTGGCCTCTGTCCGTCAGTGTATAGGCTGCGCGTTATTGTGCCTGTCGGAAGGAGAGCCCTACATTCGTAGGGCACAGAAATCTAGTGGCCCTAACTTGTTAGACGAACCTTTGAAAGTCTTCATAGTGAACCTTGCCGACCTTCCTTGATAGTGGGTTAAGAGGCTCACAACTTCGGGCGAAAGGGTAAATCATGACTCACAGTGAAAGTGTACAACCTCTGTAGAGTTTAAAACTATTATAACAGCCGTGCTCACGGTCACGAGCGACCTTGGAACATTTATGGAATAGATGATCACTAATGGTTAATGATGATGAACACGGACGAGACTGACGATGAAGATGCTCATTAATGATTACTGTTTATGCTATTCATTATTCATGTTTACCTGATCATGTGTTTACATGGGCTTGTGAATAAACTTGTTGCTACTCCTATGCTAAAATTGTGACAATTAAAAGCTAATCGCAGTTAAACCAGTGTCAGCCTTTTGAGCCTCATGAACCCCATGTTATATTTGTTGAGTACGACATGTACTTACGCTTGCTTTATTTTTCAATTATTTGGATAAAAATCTCAGATGAGTACCAGATTGATAGAGTTTGGAGGAATTAAGCTTGCGATCAACCAGTCAGTTGTCTCTGTGGAATTGGAGTCTTCACCCGAAGATCGGAGTTGTCTTTCCGTTGTTTAC